TATCAGTCAAGTAATATTTACATTCCATATTTGTGTACATAATTATAGGCACCAGATATGTTTTTGCATCTGTATATATATCAGTTTCTTGTACAGAATGAATCAAGGGAATACAATTGAGTATTTTCCAATACACCATCCTCTTCTTCTTTACTTCCACAAGAAGAACATAAATTAGAGGTTAATACTACATATGAAAGATAGTACCTGTGAAATAGACAAAGCATGAAATGGTTTACATTCAATCAGCTGTTACTTACACCCTCAATAAACTCAGGAATGTCCTCTACCATTCCAATCTGACTTAGCATCTTAAGAACAGCCTCTGTGGATCAATATAAAGAAACAAGCTTAGGAACCAGTGAAATTCATATGACAATTAAAATTATACATATTGTGATTTTATTAAAATTGTCAAATATATGTTTTAGTTGATTATTGGTTAGTGATGTAGGTATCACTCCATTTTTCTCCTTTTTTTTTTTATAATCAGCATGTAGGCATCACTCTTTCCTCTATCCTTTTACCATTTTTTCTTCCCGATCCACTTTGTTTCCTAGTAGGCTAACCCTATGAACATCTTTCTCTTCCAATTTACAAAAAAAGAAAAAAAGAAAAAAAAAAACATTAAGATGTTGGTCCATTTAATTTGCTTTTCTTTGTTGATTCCTCTCAATAAAATTTGCTATCTTGAACTAAGTAACTTATGGATGTATGCATGCAGTCCAAATACATTTTGGGATACGAATTAAAGAATGTTATATCATTGCATATCCCAAGAGCCATGCTCTATTTGATTAAATGCTCACATTGATTTAAGTTTGGTTATATATCTATATAGATAAGTGTAATGAAGGAAGAGGAAAACAAAGTGAGATTCTTCCTTTAAAGGCTAAAACTATGATATCTAACTCTTTTTTGAAAATGTTGCAATTCTTGTTCATGACTTCTTCTTCTCCAGTTCATTTGAGAGGTTTATTATTTTTTTTTTAACGTTTTTGATAGACATGTGTAAAATGAAGTGTTAAATGTGTTAGAATTATTGCAATTCTTGGTGTAAGTGCTGGCAAATTAGATTTATGAACATATGGAATTACATTACGTTCGTTTTGTCATATTTGTTCCTATTGGATGGGTTGTGCTTATTATTTAGTTAATGGAAGTAAGTTTTGTGCATCGCAACAACAATTCAAGTGGATTTGTGAATTTTGTCAAATTTGGTTTATGCATTTGGACAGTAAAGGGATTCAGATATAGCAATATTATCATTTTTTGAGAGAAAAAAAAAGCTACACGGACGAAGGGGCATTAGTATAACTCCTATCACATAGATTGCAAAAACAATCGTCAGCACATCTTAAGAAATATACTAACGAATAATGTGTCACTAAACACCACAATATTTACTGACAGAATAATATATGTATTTTTTGATCAACCAAACCAAATGAATAATTTATTAATATAGGAGTATAAGCAATACTCCTTAAAGACAATACAACTCTATGTCCTTGAAACTAGATGCAAACATGTTACATATTGAGAAAGAAACCAAGAAATTAACAAAACAGCTCCAGGAGAAAAAATGTAAAAACAAATCAACACATAACCCTATTCAGCAACTTGTAACTTCTCAAATTATTGCGATGTTGCACCATATTTTCTCGACATTCCACAAGCCTTAATAACCAGTCTTGATAAGTTAACTCACAGTTTGTCACTTTATTCTTTAACCATACAAAAGATTTAATTTGAATGGACTCTAACAACAATTCCTCATGCCACAAATTATTCTCAAACACCCTCATATTCCTCCAATACCAAAGAAACCAAGAACTAAGAATATAAAAGCACCTAAATCTTTCCCCCTTCCCCCACCTATACCTTGCATCACTGCATCTACCAATCCAAAGATATCCTTTGGTAAAACACCTTGCCAACCCCACCATTTCAAAACCTACATCCATACTCTCCATACCCCCTTACATTCACAAAAAAAAACAAAAAAATGAGAAAGACACTCCACTCCCTCATTACAAACTCACAGTCCCCTGCTCCCTCCACCAAAACCCCTTTCAAATATAAATTCTCCTTAGTTGGCAACCTATTCAAAAATAACCTCCACCTAAATATACTCAATTTAGAGGGAACATACTTACACCAAATAACTCTCAACCACCTCTTATCAAGAACACAGTCCACAGGTGTTAAAAAAGCATAAGCATTTTTCACAGAATAAACACCATCACCCTTATAAACCCATCCCCAAAAATTAGCTTTGTCCTCCCTCACCTTCACCCCATTAATCAAGTCCCGAAAATGCTCCTCCTCGCTACCCACCCTCCCCGTACAACTATGTCACCATCTACAATCCCATACCCAATCATCCCCACTCCAAAAACCCATATTCTTGATCAACCCTTCCTTATCCGTTGCTAACTCAACAAACAACCTAGGAAATAAGTTCTTCAAAGAGTTATCTCCAACCCACTTATCTCCCCAAAAATCCACTCAACTACCATTCCCCACTTCCCATTTAAAACCCTTTGCTAACATGACATTCAACCCATCGAACTCATACCCGATACTCACAATGTCCTTCCACACCTTAGACATATTCAAATAATCAAAAGAAAAAATATTGGCCTCCTTCTTACCCCCATAATATTTCTCCCAAATCACTCTCTTCCATAATCCCTCCGTCCCATCCCCTAACTGAAACCACCATTTACCTAGCAATGCCCGGTTCCTTCTCTCCAAATCAGCCATACCCAAACCTCTTCTTTCCTTATCCATACAAATATTAGTCCAACTAACCCAAGCAATTTTCCTCTCCAAACAAGCATCACCCCAAAAAAAAATCCTCTGGATTTTAATCATCTTAGCACTCACACATTTAGGATTTTAAATAAAGAAAAATGAAAAATAGGAAGAGCAGAAAGTACCAAGTTGATTAAGGTGATCCAACCTCCAAAGGACAGCAATAGGCTCTTCCAAGCGGCAAGCTTAATTCGAAAAAGATCTAGCATCGATTCCCAAAATCTTTTCCTCCCCAAATTCCTTCCAACCGGTAAACCAAGATAAATAAAAGGCACCTTACCTACTCCGCATCACAGAATATCAACAGCACCCTTAATCCACCCTTCAGCAACATTAAAACCATACAAATGGCTCTTACTAAAATTTATACGTAAACTAGAAATCAATTCAAACCAGTGCATAATAGCTTTCACTACCCTTAAATTTCTCACATCCACCTTTTCAATAAAAATAGTATCATCCACAAATTGTAATAAAGGCAATATCATACCACCCTTCCCAATTCCACTCCTCGCAACAACCCCTTACCCTTTGCTTTTTTCACAAGACCACACAATCCCTCGCTAACTAGTAAAAATAGAAAAGGAGACAAAGGATCACCTTGACGAAGGCCTTTGCCAACCAAGAATTCCTTCGTCGGACTTCCATTAACTAAAATTGAAATTCTTAATGTTGATAAACATTCACGCATCCACTGCCTCCATTTGACCCGAAAACCCATTTGAGCCATCATCCAATCTAGAAAAGACCAATCTACACAGTCATACGCCTCTCAAAATCAGCTTTAAAAATAAAACTCCCCTGTTTCCTTTTCTTTACCTCATCCACTACCTCATTCAAAATCAACACACTATCAACCAATTGTCATCCACCCACAAAAGCTGATTGCAAATCACTAATAATGTTCGTCATTATCATTTTCAACAGATTCGCCAATACCTTAGCCAAAAGTTTGTACAAACAGCCAATCAAACTAATAGGCCTATACTCCTTAAAATGCGCAGGATTTAACTTCTTAGGAATCATTGCCAAAAAAGAAGAATTTAAGCATTTGACTAACTTCTCATTTTGATGAAAATCCATCATGAAATTTATAAAGTTATCCTTCACTATGTTCCAGGCAAACTTTATAAAATTAAAATTATAACCATTCAGTCCTGGTGCCGTTGACCCATCACAGCTTTCAAGTCCTTCTTCAATTTCCTCAATGGAAAAAGGTTTTTCTAACCATTGCCTTTGTGCCTTCGAAATGCTTTTAAACTAAGAACCACTCATTATTGGACGGTTCCATTGTTCATTTTGAAACAATTGACTAAAATACTTCACAGCTTTTGCTTTCACCACATTTGGTTCCTCAACCCATCCATCCTATGAAATTGTTCACTCATAACCCCTGAAATTGCATTTGGTGCCCTTCTTGCTTGCACACTCCTATGAAAGAACCTTGTATTTGCATCCCCAGGGCGAACCCAATTAATTTGTGATTTTTGTCTCCAAATAGCTTGCCTCTTCTTTAGAATATCCCACATCTCTTGAAAACACTCTCTTCTCATCACCACCTCATCTACAGTCAACTCCACTTCCTCACTTTTTTTATCCAACGTCTCAATATGTTCTGATAAATTAACAAATTGAGCCTCCACATTGCCAAAAACATTTTTGTTCCAGCTTCTCAAATCCTCTAATAGTTTCAATTTCTGCTTGCATTTATAAGCTGCCCATCCATTTACCTGCAATGTTTTCCATCTATCTTCCACCAACTTTCGAAAGTCTGGATGTTGTTGCCATGCATCAAGCACTCGAAAAGGCTTTGGACCCCATTCTACGTTGCTTGACTTCATAATGATAGCACAATGATCTGAAATTGATCTTTTAACACCAATTTGATTCTAATCTAGACCTAAGGCACTCATTTCAACAGATAACAGGAACTTGTCAATCTTACTCATTGAAGAACCATCAGGCCTGTACCATGTGAATTTTCTATTCATCAAATTAACATCCATCAACCTAATAGCTTCAATAAATTGATTGAAATCATGCATATCCTATGTCTCTCCCATTTTACCTTTCCTCTCTGATATATTCTAGACGGAATTAAAGTCCCCAGCCAAATGCCATTTGCCACCCCTTTCTAAAACTAAATCACTAATCCCCTTCCACAATAGCACCTTCCTATGTTTGTCACAAGGAGCATATATATTAACAAAGGTGCACCGTAGTTGCTCCTGACCCCAATCACCAGAAATACCAATGAAACCATCACCCTCAAACACACTCTGTTTAACAAACCTCTTTTTATTTCAAATGCACAACAAACCACCATAATTACCTATTGATTTTTGCATTACCCATTCAAAATCATCTGAATTCCACAAAGATTTACACATAGAACCCTCAATCTTTTCTAATTTAGTCTCTTGAATAAATAGAAAATCAGGCTTCTCTTTCCTAACCAGTTTTGAAAGCTCCTTCCTTTTTAACAGAGTACCCAAACCCCTAACATTTAAAGAAATAACTTTCAAAATTCATAAAACAATTCTCACAAAGAACGATCAACCTATCACATTCAGAAATTCAGACTCCCTTGAAATTGGCAGCATCCCTCTCTTCCAAAGCCATCAACCTAGACAACACCTCATCCTCATTCTGTTGACACTGAATCCCTAATCTTTGCCCCAATTTAAACAGCTTGCGCACCTCTTCCAGTTCTAATTGTTGCTGAATTTAAGAGTTTCGGTGTTGGATGCACCCATCGGGTAATGATTGGCTTGTATTCTACACATATCAGCACACAAAATCAAGACTCTACCTTCACACAAAAATGATTTACTCTTTGTATCTTCATCAACAAGAATCACATCTCCTATCAGCTCACCTAACTCTGCAAAACATCTCTCACACCATGCCTTCAAAGGTACACCTGAAAAATGAAGCCAAACCAATCTATGCCTTGCCGAAGTAGTAGATAATGAGCATGGCTGTATCCATTCAAACCACGAATCCACCAATTCCTTATTACTATTAAGAAACTCCTGTAAACAACCCTCAAATTGTCCACTAATATCACCTGTTTACCCCTTACCAAAGCCACATTCACCATTAAAACATCAACATCCAATCTATTCTATATTTTTTTCACCGTGTCTAATGATTGGCCCACCGCCACCATGCTTCTCTTTAGCCATGCATTCTCATCCTTTGTGGGAGAAAACTCTAAAGCCAATTGTAGGACCCCCTCTGCCTCCTTGAAACTAACCTGTTCCTGCTCAATGCTTGTCTCTTCCTTCTCGTTTTGCACCACTTCTTGCCTACTACCACTCATTGAAGACCCACTTTCCTCAATTCCTGTAAATTTCCCTGCCACCACCTTTGTATATGATACCCCAGGGTTCACTTTTCTCACCCATTGTTTTGCAGGCTACTTGCTCGGTACCGATGCTGTCACTTCCTTTCCTCTTCTCATATTGTCAGCCAATTTAGCCTTGAGATGATAAGAGCCTAACCTTATTTCATTCAATTTCCTCTCCATATCTATAACATTGAAACACCCGCCATTTTGACAAGACCAAACCGACGCCCTCTCCGATCCCTTTTTGCCAGAATATATACGTTCGCCACTTTCCCATATGACCAGAAGCTAAACCACAAGTCCTTAGCAATTCGATCAGCTGGAAAATCATAGAAAAAATAAGGCATTGCTTGGCCAATAAACTAAGAAACATATCTTGGAAGCCGCCACCTGATACCCCCATCCTTTGCTGTCAAAGACCTCGCTCGAAACCCTACACCCATGCTTTCCATTTTTTTAGAAGAAGGGCCTGTTTGTGACCTTACTGACAGAATAATATAATACTAATGTGTTGTCATCTGTATATCACATCCATCATTATAGTAGATAGTTTAAGGTATTGGTCATAAACAACTGTCGGTGTAGTTTTCTATTACCATACTGATGACTGTTTCTTGTCAGTATAAATGTGTACTGATGGATCCTACACTAACGAGCTTATTAGCTATCGGTGTAGTCCATAGGGACTATAATAAAGGTAAAATAATATTGACTTTATTAATAGTTAATATAAACAAAATAATAACAGTTAATATTTGACAAAAAATACCATAAATATAATAACCATAATAACAACAAAAAATACATAAAATTGTTTTACCAATCCAATTGAAACCTAAGACATATTTTAAGAACGCTATTAATATATGTAGTGATTAAAGTTCAGTAGGGTGAGCTTGTTTTCGCGGAAGCTATTATAAGCTTGCATTCCTGTCATAATAAGACCTGCTAAGATACCGAGGAAGACCAAGAAGCTCCAAGGACTGCTAAAATAGGTGTCAGTGAGTTTAGCCACGACGTTGGCACATAGATAGCGTGGGTGTGATTTGTTGTTGCAGTATTCATAGATATTACGTCTCAATTCTAAGTCTATCTTAAGATTTGACAGCAGGATGCCGCTGACCCTGTTGAACAGGTTCGCGACAGCTTCATCGCTTCCTAATCCGTTCTGCAGCACGCCTGCATCTGTCAGTTCCCTCACATTCTCCCCATTATCAATCAAGGAGTCGAGGAATGACAAGTGCGAGGTGATCTTGCAAGTTTCTTTGAAATCTGGACACAGCTCATACGCTATCAAATTCAGCAACAATGGCACGGTGGTATTGTGCAAAAAAATGGGAGCCAGCGTAAGGGTTGGCATGCAACAATGGTCCTTGAAATCAATGTCTGTGATGGCGCCTCCCTTTTCCCTCGCTTTAAAACGAATACCCATGTCTTTCAGCTCCTTTACGTTGCGAATTGAGGGCCACTGTTTGCTTGTATCACCAGTCAGTGTCTTCCAAAAACCGTCTTTGTTAATTCTTTTTTGTTCCTCATCACTCTTCTCTTTCGATTTGACTCCAATCAGTCTTCTTCTCAACAACTCTAGAAGATGTTGAGGAGGGTCTTCTTCTTGTTGTTGTTGCTCATGAGGAGGATGAGGCTGTGAATAATCAACCTGAATTTGGAGTTGTTGCTGCGCAGTCAGAATCAAGAAACTCCTATTGACGAATTCGGTGATCAAATTCTTGAATAACTTAGAATTGATTTCCTTAGGAATTTCTGTTGATTCTTCACTTGAGACTTCCAAGAACGAGTCTATCAATATCTCAAGAAGCCGGTAGGGCAGTTGGTTCTCAAGTAAGAAAAGATCAACCTTCTCAATGTCGACTAGACCAAAGTCAAAAGTGTAATCCCGCCACAAATCCATCATATCAAAGACTATGAATTGCAACAATGCACAGCCATCCACTAGGAACATCCAGGCCAACTCCTCATCATTCCAATTCTCTACTTCCTTGGAGTCATAGCAGTTCTTCAAGCTATATAGCTCCTTCTTGACATTCCTGTAGAAAATTTCCTTCGTGCTCTCACTAAAATTGATGAACATTGCCGCCATTTTTAGCTTGGACTGCTCCCCTCTCTCCATTATCGGATCTTTGTCAGTCTCTTTTGGATGGTTGAGGGGACCGATCGCAACAGAAGTTGGTTTGAAATATCCTCTGCATTCCTCGCTACTGTAGCACGAGGTCAATTTCTGCGTAATCTTCTGAATTAATGGCTTGTTTGATCGAGTTGAACCTGGATCGGCTTCCTCCAATAACTTCAATCTGTTAATCTCATCTTCGGTGAGTGGGTCCATGTTGTGCAAGTGACAAGTCTGCTCGCTTTGCCGTACCCTCAGCCTTGCATGACAAAAATATATATTACATGAAAGATTCTTCGGTAATCTTTTTTTTTTTTTTGATCAGCAAAACAAAAATTTTTATTTAATGGAGCACAAGGGGTACTCCTGCCCTTTTACAAAGAATATAAAAGGCTTATTCTCCCATCAAAATCAAAAAAGAAAACTCCTGCACAAAACATGCTGACAACCCAAGAAATCAAACTAAAGAAAACAAACTTCCAGTTTGCCACTCCGTGAACAGCCTTCCGTATAGGAGTCCATACAGCCAATGCATGCTAATTGGGAAGATGTTGTTGCTGTTGCTTAGTGAACAATTTGAGAGATCTCTTGTAACTCTTCAGCTCCTTTGCACAATCCCTAGGATTACTTTGCCACTGAGCTAATGGGAAAACACACCCTTTCACCTTATTTCTAATCCAGAAATAAGACTTCACTTGAATTAACTACAGCAATTGCTCTTTAAGCTCCCCATTGCTCCTAAATACCAAAATATTCCTCCAGAACCATAAATACCAAGAGGTGACCAAAAAAATGCATGCTCCCAACTCCTTACCCCCCACACTACCCAAACACCACAGGAAAAAATCCACCACACCCCTCACTATATCCGGCATCACTACCTCCACACCCCACCACTTAATCACCTTCACCCATACTAACCAAGCTGCTTTACATGTGCAAAACAAATGATTAACATCCTCCACACCCTCTTTGCAAAGCCCACACACCATACCATCCCCTTGTAAAACCACCCCTCTCTTCCGCAAATTCCATCTTGTGGGAAGTCTATCTAGACACAACCTCCACCCAAAAAACCCCACTTTCGAAGGCACCAACTTACACCATATTACTTTGCATAATTGTCCCTCAAGCAAGCGATCCTCAGGAGCTAAAAATTCATATGCTGTCTTTACTACATACCTCCCTTCTACATCATACCTCCACTGCCATAAATCTGCCAATCCCTTCCTTAACTTTATACTCGCCAACACCACCCCCAACCCTTTCTCCTCATCTTTTTCGCGACCCATCCTCTCTCTCCTCCACTCTATGCCCCATTTCCAACTTTCCCCTTCCCATGTTCCATTCTCCTTTACCGTACCTTCCTTGTTGATAGCTAATTGAAAAAGCCTTGGAAATAAATCTCGAAGAGATTTATTCCCCACCCAAATATCTCTCCAAAAGCACACCCGACATCCCTCCCCCACCTCCCACCGAAACCCATGCCTTAACAAATTTTTTATCTTCTCAGATTTCCCACCTATTCTAATTATGTCGCCCCAAATCTGCGACACCCTTAAATTCGCCACATCTATAATACCCACCTCTTGCATACCCTCGTAATATTTCTCTTTCACTACCCTTTTCCACAACCCCTCCCTTCCATCCCCTAACCTATACCACCATTTCCCTAATAGTGCTCAATTTCTCCGACGTATATCCGGAACCCCTAATCCTCCTTGCTCCTTGCTCCAGCAAATAGCTTCCCATTTTACCCACGAGATCTTTCTTCTCTCCCCTGAACCCCCCCCCCACAAAAACTCCCTTTGAATAGTGACTAATTGAGCAAGCACAGAATTTGGCATATAAAATAAGGACATAAAAAAAGTAGGAAGTGCAGAGAGTACCGAGTTTAG